TACAGAGGGTAGTGCGTACAGCCCAGTACATCACTGGGTCCAAGCTTCCTGCAAAGCTGTCATCAAGGCAAAGGGTGGCTACTTTGAAGAATCTCAAATATAAAATATATTTTGATTTGTTTAACACTTTTCTGGTTACTACCTCAAATCAAATCAAATTGTATTTGTCACATACACGTGTTTAGCAGATTCCATATGTGATTCCATATATGATTCCATATGTGTTATGTCATAGTTTTCTACATTATTCTACAATGTAGAAAATAGTAAAAATAAAGAAAAACCCTTGAATGAGTACGTGTGTCCAACCTTTTGACTGGTACTGTATATTATTGTTGCTTAAACATATTATTTATGTATGTAATACTTCATATACATTGCTTTGGCAACAGTGGCAACCACCAATCCATGCCAATAAAGCATTTATTGAATTGAGAGAGAAAGAGAGACAGCCAGATGGCCAGATCTTGGTTTTACTTTTTCAATGTGTGTTCTCTCCAAAATAAACGTGTAGATGATCTGAATAAGGTTAGTAACGAACACCAAATTGGGAAGTAGGTTCAATCTACTATCTATTTATTAGGGCTGTCAGAGTTCATCAGTGCAATCTACAATCTATTTATTAGGGCTGTCAGAGTTCATCAGTGCAATCTACAATCTACATATTAGGGCTGCTACCGTCGATCAGTGCAATCTACTATCTGTAGAGTTCTACGATCTACAATCTATTTATTTTGGAGCTGTCAGAGTTCATCAGTTAACTCAGGTTAACCTTTTGTAATTTTAGTGCACTTTTTTTATCGTGATTAATCACATTGTCTGAAAGCATTCAAAATACACTGAAAACATTCAAAATACATCGTCTATACAGCCAGAAACAACAATGAGATGTCAAAACAAGTTGACATTGAGGTTAAAACCTCTTAAGGATCTGACCCTTTTTTTCAATTTTCACCTAAAATGACATACCCAAATCTAACTGCCTGTAGCTCAGGACCTGAAGCAAGGATATGCATATTATTGATACCATTTGAAAGGAAACACTTTGAAGTTTGTGGAAATGTGAAATTAATGTAGGAGAATATAACACATTAGAGCTGGTAAAAGATAATACAAACAAAAGCAACATGCATTTTCAGTGTTCTTTTTTGTTCCATCATCTTTGAAATGCAAGAGAAAGGCCACAATATAATATTGCAGTTTAGGCGCAATTTAGATTTTGGCCACTAGATGACAGCAGTGTGTGTGCAAAGTTTCAGATTGATCCAGTGAACCGTTGCAATACTGGACTATTTTGTATGAAGTCTGCCCAAATGTACCAAATTGGTCAATTGATACATGTAAGTTTACACACTCCGAGGAATGTCATACATGATGGATCATTAGCTTATACACTAACTTTCACACATCTAGATGGCCGGGCTGGGTGGGTGTGGAGCCAGAGACAGCCGAGGTTCAAACTGTAGAACCCAGTTTCTACATTTGAATTTAAAAATTGATTTTATCAAACAAAACTATGCTACATTTTATCTCTGGGACCCTTAGGATTACTGAATGTAAGTACATTATTTACCTTCAGAGGTGAATGTATCAAACTATTTGCCGTGGTATGTTTTGTTGTTGTTGTGCACTCTCCTCAAACAATAGCATGGTCTTGTTTCACTGTAATAGCTACTGTAAATTGGACAGTGCAGTTAGATTAACAAGAATTTAAGCTTTCTGCCCATATAAGACATGTCTATGTCCTGGAAAGTTTGCTGTTACTTACGACAGTCATGCTAATCACATTAGCTCACGTTAGCTCAACCGTCCCATATACGGGACACTGATCCCATAGAGGTTAAAGGAGGTGTGCTTTATCAATTTACCAGATTCTGCTAACCATTACTTTGGACAAAATTAAGAGGTCAATATTATTGTAATGATTTTTGTACAAAAAACATATTAAATTCCAGCTCCATTTGAGCAAATTTTGAATGTGCGATTAATTGTGATTAATCACAGCAAATCCTGTGATTAACTCAATAAAATATACAAATATCGTTTGAGAGCCCTAGTTTTATATGTTTTAAGGATTCTTTAAGGTGTCATTGAATAAATGTTAAAAAATATTGAAACAGCTGCAGTCCAGTACTGAATATTGATGTATTACTGTTTGCATCTCTTTTGTCGTCTGCAATCAGGTTACCTCAATGAAACACTAGATGGCGCCAATGGACCCTCAGCTCAGAGGCCTTAATGTCATTCTCACAGCGTGTGAGAAACCTTACCCAACACAAGACAGTAATTATAAATGAATACATGGTCAATAGTGATGTTGTCTATTGTGACCCAGTATTTCAATGGTTGAGCATTATTCAAGCATACTGAGTCCTGACACCTGCTTTTCTATAACACAGCACTTCAGGGCTTTTATATGGCAGATCTTTTTGCTTGTATACAGCACAATAACATGTCACCACTACATTCAGGGTCAACATACACTGTGGCGACCTTACACCTGGAGAGCATCCAAAGGTTTGTACCTCTTGGTGTAACAGCTTAGGTTTTGGGTCGACAGCTGCAGTAAGGTCCTCGGTTTAAGCCCGAGTTGGGCCTACCCCCCTGACCTTTCCATTTCAGGACTTCCTGTAGATCTATATAATGTGTTGTTTTCATACCATGTAAACACACACACACACACACACACACACACATCGACTGACTGGTCCTGGGCCCACCACAATAATGTGAGGGAGGATGTGATACCCAGTGCAGGAGAAAGCAGAGATATGAGGAACACCGTCCATAAGATTTCTGACAATTATTAGCCACATTTTGAACATAGAGACTCTTTAAAGGCTGTGGTGGGCCGCACACACACACAAGAACTTCATTTGACAACACCGATCGACTGCAGACAGTGAAAGACCTCCGAAGGGAAGAGGGACATACAGCTAGATGGTAAGACGCCCAGTACCTAAATATGGTGTTGATTGTGAAAACGCTGTATTAGTTGACTCACACTCTCACTTCGGATCATAGGTTTCCCTCTATTTTCAGAGGAGAAAGCAGTCAGTGTTAGTGTAATGTCTGACGCTGTTGGATGTTGCTAGCTAATCCTCCAGAGATTGGTTCCGGAACTGCAAAGAGGCTCATACAACGTGACAGTGTCCTTGGCCGAGCCCCAAATGGCACCCTATTCCTTATATAGTACTATGTTTTATTAGGGTAGGGTACTATATAGGAATAGGGTGCCATTTGGGACTCGTACCCTATTCTATTCTATTCTCAACTTTTGCACACATAGCACACCCAGCACACTCTCAGAGAAAATTAAACTTTGACGTTTTAAGGGATTACAATATGGTAGTTTCCATGCATTCAAAAGAAGGCAGCTCCTGCCGACTGCTCCCTTGTAAAGCTTCGAAGAGCTTCTTCCTTTAACTGTTGAATAACGTTTGACACTTCAACACACCTGCACAAGATGTTTGCACAAGTTGTGTGTGTGTGCATCCCTTTTAAAGTTCTCCATAGTATTAAAATAAAAAATTCTACATGCAAATTATTGTCGACTGCTAGTAATACATTTAAGTCATTTTAGCAGACGCTCTTATCCAGAGCGACTTACAGTTAGTGAGTGCATACATTTTATATACTGGCCCCCCGTGGGAAACGAACCCACAACGCTGGACATTGCAAGCGCCATGCTCTACCAACTGAGCTACAGGGGACCTAATAGAGGTAGGAGAGTTGTTTGTAGGTACAGTTTAAGTCGGAAGTTTACACACACATTTACATATACATAATTTAGCAGACGCTCTTATCCAGAGCGACTTACAAATACACCTTAGCCAAATACATTTAAACTCAGTTTTTCACAATTCCTGACATTTAATCCTAGTAAAAAATCCCTGTTTTAGGTCAGTTAGGATCACCACTTTATTTTAAGAATGTGAAATGTCAGAATAATAGTAGAGAGAATGATTTATTTAAGCTTTTATTTCTTTCATCACGTTCCCAGTGGGTCAGAAGTTTACATACACTCAATTAGTATTTGGCAGCGTTGCCTTTAAATTGTTTAACTTGGGTCAAACATTTCAGGTAGCCTTCCACAAGCTTCCCACAATAAGTTGGGTGAATCTTGGCCCATTCCTCCTGACAGAGCTGGTGTCACTGAGTCAGGTTTGTAGGCCTCCTTGCTCGCACACGCTTTTTCAATTCTGCCCACACATTTTCTATAGGATTGAGGACAGGGCTTTGTGATGGCCACTCCAATACCTTGACTTTGTTGTCCTTAAGCCATTTTGCCACAACTTTGGAAGTATGCTTGGGGTCATTGTCCATTTGGAAGACCCATTTGCGACCAAGCTTTAACTTCCTGACTGATGCCTTGAGACTTGCCAAAACTATAGTTTGTTAACAAGACATTTGTGGAGTGGTTGAAAAAACGAGTTTTAATGACTCCAACCTGAGTGTATGTAAACTTCCGACTTCAACTGTAGTTGTTGTGCGTTTAAACAGTATAGTGAACACAGGCTGCAGGCAGCAAACTAAACATCACTCACAGCAGTGGAAGGGAGGATGTGGCTGAGATGTAGAGAGGGGGGGGTAGATGAGGTGAGCAGCTTGGCATCAAAGCCGACGGGGTGTAATGTCGGAGGGTGTTGTGAGGTGGGAAAGCAAAGGCAAAAAGGCGGCACTGTCTCTGCAGGTCACAGAGATGAAGACGAAGACATGAAACTGACTGCACAGCTCTTGTAGACGTAACGAACAGCATTCAAAAACGGAACATGCAATGGTTAACTTAGAGATCATGAGATACAGAACGTGAGTATTAACTGCTGTAAATCTTTAATTGTACATGGACAAGACAGGCTAGACTATAATACTGTAAGCAATGGTTTAGTCAATAGCATTTTAAGGACTTGAATTTGAAGGATTTTTGCCAAATAGAATGAACTTAGCCCCCCCCCCCCCCCCCTCTCGATCAAAGGCTCCAACCAGAGAAGAAGATACAAATGGAAGACACCATTGACACCGCCATGGGGGTGTTCTCTGATCAGTACCTTGTGTCCAATGACAGTTTACTGTTCAACATCACCCCAACCCACTTTCCCCCCCTGCCACCCATAATAGACCAGACCATCAGCGTCACCACCATAGTCATCCTCTTCATCACCATGGTTTCACTGGGCTGTACCATGGAGGTGTCCAAGATCAAGGTGATTCTCATGATGATGCTCATCTCTAGTTTGGTTCTCTAGTTTCCGGTTGTTTCAGACTTTTTGGGGTTATTTTCATCCTCTTTTTGTGATGATTTTTTTGTGATTAAAGCAGTTTTAGGGTTTGTGAAATGTATACAAATGAAATATTCTATTCATAACATTAATATTGTTATTCATCTATTTATATAGGCCCACATCCTGAAACCTAAAGGAATAGCCATCGCAGTGGTGGCCCAGTTCGGAGTAATGCCCCTCACTGCCTTTTCATTGGCTAAGGTTAGTATTTCTCATTGGTTAAGGTTAGTATTTCTCATTGGCTAAGGGTAGTATTTCTCATTGGCTAAGGTTAGTATTTCTCATTGGCTAAGGGTAGTATTTCTCATTGGCTAAGGGTAGTATTTCTCATTGGCTAAGGGTAGTATTTCTCATTGGCTAAGGGTAGTATTTCTCATTGGCTAAGGTTAGTATTTCCATAGCTGTAGTGGTGCTGATCTGTGGATTCATGTGTGTGGTTCTATAGGTGTTACAGCTGGAGCCGATGGAGGCTGTAGCGGCGCTGATCTGTGGATTCATGTGTGTGGTTCTATAGGTGTTACAGCTGGAGCCGATGGAGGCTGTAGCGGCGCTGATCTGTGGATTCATATGTGTGGTTCTATAGGTGTTACAGCTGGAGCCGATGGAGGCTGTAGCGGTGCTGATCTGTGGATGCTGTCCAGGGGGAAGCCTCTCCAATATACTGGCCCTGGCTCTGAAGGGAGACGTGAACCTCAGGTAGACAACACTCTTAACTATTCACATGAACCTCTATACACTTTCATCTATTCTCATCCAAAACTCCCCATTATCACAGTGTGGCATAACGCTCAGATGAATCATCTTGTTTCTGACACTAAAGACTGGTCTCATCAGCCAGTTATTGTTCCCCAAATTGTACATATACCGGTAACTACAACTCATTTTACATATACCGGTAACTACAACTCATTTTACATATACCGGTAACTACAACTCATTTCCCGAGCAATGTGAATGTGGAAGACTGGAAATCAAGGCTCAAGACATCAGATAAATATGCATACCTACTTATCCAGTCCTAGGTGTCAAATAAAGGGGTTAATGACCGGTCAGTTAAAACTAAAAGGTGTGATGGATGGCGTGTCTGTCTGAGAGTATGTATTATTAATATGATAATAGCTTTATGATCATGTCAATTTTATACAGGTCATTCAACTTTGTGGTACTAACAGGGTGAGAGCCAAAGCACTGGATAGATACAATACGTACACTACCGGTCAAAAGTTTGGACACACCTACTCATTCAAGGGTTTTTCTTAATTTTTTACTATTTGCTACATTGTAGAATAATAGTTAAGACATCAAAACTATGAAATAACACAAATGGAATCATGTAGTAACCAAAAAAGTGTTAAACAAATCAAAATATATTTTATATTTGAGATTCTTCAAATAGCCACCCTTTGCCTTGATGACAGCTTTGCACACTCTTGGCATTCTCTCAACCAGCTTCATGAGATAGTCACCTGGAATGCATTTCAATTAACAGGTGTGCCTTCTTAAAAGTAATTTGTGGAATTTCTTTCCTTCTTAATGCGTTTGAGCCAATCAGTTGTGTTGTGACAAGGTAGGGGGGGTATACAGAAGATAGCCCTATTTAGTAAAAGACCAAGTCCATATTATGGCAAGAACAGCTCAAATAAGCAAAGAGAAACGACAGTCCATCATTACTTTAAGACATGAAGGTCAGTCAATACGGAAAAATTCAAGAAAGTTTCTTCAAGTGCAGTCGCAAAAACCATCAAGCGCTATGATGGAACTGGCTCTCATGAGGACCGCCACAGGAAAGGAAGACCCAGAGTTACCTCTGCTGCAGAGGATAAGTTCATTAGAGTTACCGGCCTCAGAAATTGCAGCCCAAATAAATGCTTCACAGAGTTCAAGTAACAGACACATCTCAACATCAACTGTTCATTCAGAGACTGCGTGAATCAGGCCTTCATGGTCGAATTGCTGCAAAGAAACCACTACTAAAGGACACTAATGAGAAGAAGAGACTTGCTTGGGCCAAGAAACATGAGCAATGGACATTAGACCGGTGGAAATTTGTTCTTTGGTCTGGAGTCCAAATTTGAGATTTTTGGTTCCAACTGCCGTGTCTTTGTGAGACGCGGTGTGGGTGAACGGATGATCTCTGCATGTGTAATTCCCACCGTAAAGCACAGAGGAGGAGGTGTTATGGTGTGGGGGTGCTTTGCTGGTGACACTGTCTGTGATTTATTTAGAATTCAAGGAACACTTAACCAGCATGGCTACCACAACATTCTGCACACGATACGCCATCCCATCTGGTTTGGGCTTAGTGGGACTATCATTTGTTTTTCAACAGGACAATGACCCAACACACCTCCAGGCTGTGTAAGGGCTATTTTACCAAGAAGGAGAGTGATTGACAAACTTATCCTCTGCAGCAGAGGTAACTCTGGGTCTTCCTTTCCTGTGGTGGTCCTCATGAGAGTCAGTTTCATCATAGCGCTTGATGGTTTTTGCGACTGCACTTGAAGAAACTTTCAAAGTTCTTGAAATGTTCCGTATTGACTGACCTTCATGTCTTAAAGTAATGATGGACTGTCATTTCTCTTTGCTTATTTGAGCTGTTCTTGCCATAATATGGACTTGGTATTTTACCAAATAGGGCTATCTTCTGTATACCCCCCAACCTTGTCACAACACAACTGATTGGCTCAAACGCATTAAGAAGGAAAGAAATTCCACAAATTAACTTTTATTGATTTATTTTTATTTATTTTTTATTTCACCTTTATTTAACCAGGTAAGCCAGTTGAGAACAAGTTCTCATTTACAACTGCGACCTGGCCAAGATAAAGCAAAGCAGTGCGATAAAAACAACAACACAGAGTTAAATATGGGGTAAAACAAAACATAAAGTCCAAAATACAACAGAAAATATATATACAGTGTGTGCAAATGTAGCAAGTAATGGAGGTAAGGCAATACATAGGCTATAGTGCAAAATAATTACAATTAGTATTAACACTTGAATGATAGATGTGCAAGAGATGATGTGCAAATAGAGATACTGGGGTGCAAATGAGCAAAATAAATAACAATATGGGGATGAGGTAGTTGGGTGGGCTAATTTCAGATGGGCTGTGTACAGGTGCAGTGATCGGTAAGGTGCTCTGACAACTGATGCTTAAAGTTAGTGAGGGAGATAAGAGTCTCCAGCTTCAGAGATTTTTGCAATTCGTTCCAGTCATTGGCAGCAGAGAACTGGAAGGAATGGCGGCCAAAGGAGGTGTTGGCTTTGGGGATGACCAGTGAGATATACATGCTGGAGCGAATACTACGGGTGGGTGTTGCTATGGTGAACAATGAGCTAAGATAAGGCTGGGATTTGCCTAGCAGTGATTTATAGATGGCCTGGAGACAGTGGGTTTGGCGACGAATATGTAGTGAGGACCAGCCAACAAGAGCGTACAGGTCACAGTGGTGGGTAGTATATGGGGCTTTGGTGACAAAACGGATGGCACTGTGATAGACTACATCCAATTTGCTGAGTAGAGTGTTGGAGGCTATTTTGTAAATGACATCGCCGAAGTCAAGGATCGGTAGGATAGTCAGTTTTACAAGGGCATGTTTGGCAGCATGAGTGAAGGAGGCTTTGTTGCGAAATAGGAAGCCGATTCTAGATTTAACTTTGGATTGGAGATGCTTAATGTGAGTCTGGAAGGAGAGTTTACAGTCTAACCAGACACCTAGATATTTGTAGTTGTCCACATACTCTAGGTCAGACCCGTCCGAGAGTAGTGATTCTAGTCGGGTGGGCGGGTGCCAGCAGCGTTCAATTGAAGAGCATGCATTTAGTTTTACTAGTGTTTAAGAGCAGTTGGAGGCTACTGAAGGAGTGTTGTATGGCATTGAAGCTCGTTTGGAGGTTTGTTAACACAGTGTCCATTGAAGGGCCAGATGCATACAAAATGGTGTCGTCTGCGTAGAGGTGGATCTGAGAGTTACCAGCAGCAAGAGCGACATCATTGATATACACAGAGAAAAGAGTCAGCCCAAGAATTTAACCCTGTGGCACCCCCATAGAGACTGCCATAGGTCCAGACAACAGGCCCTCCGATTTGACACATTGAACTCTATCTGAGAAGTAGTTGGTGAACCAGGCGTGGCAGTCATTTGAGAAACCAAGACTATTTAGTCTGCCAATAAGAATGCGGTGGTTGACAGAGGCATCAAGCCTTTGCCAGGTTGATGAAGACGGCTGCACAGTACTGTCTATTATCGATCGCGGTTATAATATCGTTTAGGACCTTGAGCGTGGCTGAGGTGTACCCATGACCAGCTCGGAAACCGGATTGCAAAGCGGAGAAGGTACGGTGGTATTCGAAATGGTCGGTGATCTGTTTGTTAACTTGGCTTTCAAAAACTTTCGAAAGGCAGGGCAGGATGGATATACAGTGGGGAGAACAAGTATTTGATACACTGCCGATTTTGCAGGTTTTCCTACTTACAAAGCATGTAGAGGTCTGTAATTTTTATCATAGGTACACTTCAACTGTGAGAGACGGAATCCAGAAAAAAATCCAGAAAATCACATTGTATGATTTTTAAGTAATTCATTTGCATTTTATTGCATGACATAAGTATTTGATCACCTACCAACCTGTAAGAATTCCGGCTCTCACTGACCTGTTAGTTTTTCTATAAGAAGCCCTCCTGTTCTCCACTCATTACCTGTATTAACTGCACCTGTTTGAACTCGTTACCTGTATAAAAGACACCTGTCCACACACTCAATCAAACAGACTCCAACCTCTCCACAATGGCCAAGACCAGAGAGCTGTGTAAGGACATCAGGGATAAAATTGTAGACCTGCACAAGGCTGGGATGGGCTACAGGACAATAGGCAAGCAGCTTGGTGAGAAGGCAACAACTGTTGGCGCAATTATTAGAAAATGGAAGAAGTTCAAGATGACGGTCAATCACCCTCGGTCTGGGGCTCCATGCAAGATCTTACCTCGTGGGGCATCAATGATCATGAGGAAGGTGAGGGATCAGCCCAGAACTACATGGCAGGACCTGGTCAATGACCTGAAGAGAGCTGGGACCACAGTCTCAAAGAAAACCATTAGTAACACACTACGCCGTCATGGATTAAAATCCTGCAGCGCACGCAAGGTCCCCCTGCTCAAGCCAGCGCATGTCCAGGCCCGTCTGAAGTTTGCCAATG